CAAACACATGGTGCCTCAGGGAGATACAGTCACCAAACGCTAGCAGTTAGCAGAACGCCCAGGCCAAACAGATTCTCTCCCTGTGGTCGTCGAGAAGGAGCTTCGCTTTCCATACCTGTCACATCTCCATCTCGTCAGCTGCATCTCAACTCACATGAAACCTAGAGGTTCCTGAGCCTGATCCATAAACAACGCGGACCGAGATCTCCAGGTTGGTATGTGCACCGATGGTACAACTAAAGGTTTTTGGAAGGAAATAAACAGATTTAGAAAATGCACTGTGCCAGCCCATTGTGTATGTGTGTGTGTATGCATGGTGGGGGGGTTGCTGGCCCTTCAGCTTCCAGGTCCGGGGCCGACGTGATGAAAGTGTTTCTCGCTGTAGACAATACAGGCTGCCAATTAGCGCCTCTCACTGACATGTTAAATGGGTAACAAATGGCTAATTGACTCCCCCCCCCCCCACACCGCTCACACCTGAGATCAAAGCACCAATCAAGAGAAAGATGCCACACCTCAAAAAACAGAAACAACACAGTGCACCATGCGGGAGACGCGATGCGAGGCTCCTGCCACAGGGGAACGGGTCAGGTTAATATTACATAATAAGGTTATTATTACAGTCAGTGTTGTCTTTGGGGAATGACCTTCTCCTTGCCCATGTTCTGGGTCGGTAGCCATTTTTAAGTGACTAGTTCTACATTTACATTTATATTTCTGACACTCATAGCGACATACTTTTATGAGGAAGCAGCGGCAGACGGTCCCTGGACCTATTTGTTGTTAAGGGCCTTGCTGAAGGGCCCAACAGTGACATCGCTCTGCCGACCCCGGGATCTGAACCTGTGACCTTCTTTCGGCAGGGTGAGGCCTAACTAAATAGGTAAAAAAAAGTGTACTGGTGGAAGACATGGCGCTACCAGGCGAAGGTTGCAGGTTCAAGCCACATGTCAGGTACGGCCGTGTTACGCTTCACCAAGCGACTGGAACTGACTCCTTCCATACAATATCCAGCTCTGTCAATGGATTTAAAATGCACTCAGTGGCCAGTTTAGTAGGTACACATGCTTGTTATATGACATGGCGGTTCCAGTGTCTCGAAAACAGCTGCCCTCCCGGGATTTTCACTCATTATAATAGTCTGGAGCTTACAGGGAATGGCGAGAACAAAAAACATCCAGTCATGCCGGAGAGTTACGTCACCGAGAAGCACCATGTTAATGAGAGAGGTCAGAGGAGGATGGCCAGACTGGTTAAAGCTAATGGGAAGGACGCAGGTGAAAAGATAACGGCTCAGTACAGCAGCGGTGTGCAGGAAGGCGTCCCACAACTCTTGGGTTGGTTGTGGTCTTGGAGTCAAAGGGAATCCTTCGGGGTGCTATGTAGGGCTATGTAGGGCTATGTAGGGCTGCCTAGTGAAGAGGCCCATGTGTGTACAGCTTCTCGAATGGTAACATCGGCAAACTGCATCTGCTGTGTTGAGGCTGTAGTGCGACATACCAGAGCTTCTTTGCCTGGAAGGTCTCCTACTGTAATCTTCAGCAGGACTGTGGTCACATCCCTCAACCGCACTTTGCTCCGAACCGATGGCTCAGACCGAATGAAACTTCTGTGATTTTCGAAAGGCAATTCTGCCGCCAAAGGTCATATTGTTTGGGGTGGGGGGATGGGGGGGGTGGCGCTGTTCTGCTGGAAAGGTTTTTTTTCTGGGTTCAATGAGCACTGAACACCAGCTGGAGCCTGTGGGAAGGAAGGAGGGGGGCACAAGGTGACAGGAAGTGGCGGGGGACAGGAAGTACCACCGCTGGTCTGAGCTTCGCTTCCACACCTCTGCTTGGCTCCCTGCCACCCTCTCCTGCCCCTTTATCCTGCCCCACTACTGAAGAAGACACACACACACACACACACGCACATGTAGGGTATACATATCCTTATGGGGACCGCTCATTCATTTCAATGGGAAAAATGCTAACGCTAACTATGACAACCTTAACCCCTACCCTGCCCTAACCATAACCATAAGTAACCTAACAAAATACAAGAGTTTTTGCATTTTTAGTTTTTTCATAGCAGTCACCGATTTTTATAAAATAGAGTTCCTGGTCCCCATAAGGGAGAAAAAATGGATATTTATCACGTTATGGGGACATTATGTCCCCATAAGGATAGGTAAACCCGCTCGCATACACACACAGATACACACACACACAGACACACAAACCTGTACTCATATCTTAACCTTAAGTAACCAAACTAAATACGAGACTTTTGGCATTTTTAAGTTTTTGATTGCAGTGACAGATTTTTATAAAAACCAATAAACTGATAAAATGTCCTCGCAAGGTCAAAACAACAGGTTTTTATCACATTGTGCCCTGCTGTGGGGTGGGGGTTGGTGGGGGTCCACAGGCACACTAAGCCCAGTTTACTTCTCCACCGATCCCCCCCCCCACACACACACCGCAACACTGCATTCCTTCTGAAGTGTGTCTACAGACTGATTTAGTTAATTGTCAACAACGGGCCTGATTCACATAGTACCTCAGAGGTACAGCCCCCCCTTCCACCCCCCCATCACAGAGCGCTTCGACTGGGAAGGGCATGGTTACGAAACAGTGAAGAACGGGGGGTCGCTACCTTCTTCATGCCATAATTAGGTATTAAACTATTGTACGTATTTTCAGCGAGTAAATGGAGAATAAGCCGTAAGGTCGTCTCTAAGTGCTGGGGCATGGAGGTGATCAACGTCGGGGGGGCTGGAGCATGGGATGGTGCAGAATGAACAGCAATGGGCAGTTCAGGTTTGGGGAGTAGGGGGGTGAGAACTGGGAAGGCACCTTGCAGCAGCTGGTCTCCATTATCCAAGCAGGGGGGCGCAAAGGGGTAGGGGGGCACGGGGGGAGCATAGACCACAGGCGCCAGGAGGGGGGCAACAGGTCAGGGAGGATGAAGATTATCAAAATACAAGCAGGCAGCAGGCCCATGTGGTAGGTGTGTGTGTGTGTGTGTGTGTGTGAGCGAGTATACACGATGTCCCCACAATGTGATGAATACCAGTTTTTTTTCCTTATGGGGACCAGTTTCCAGGTCCCCATAAGGGAAAACTCAATTTAATAAAAATCTGTGACTGCAATGAAACTCTTGTATTTTGTTAGGTTACTTATGGTTATGGTTAGGGCTGGGTAGGGGTTAAGGTTGTCATAGTTAGCGTTGGCATTTTTCCCATAGAAATGAATGAGCGGTCCCCATAAAGATATGTTTACCTGACTGTGCATGTGTGCATGTATATGTGTGCGTGTGTGTGTGTATATGTGTGTGTGTTTGTGTGTGTATGTGTGTGCTGGTGGGGTATTCCTTTGCTTGATTCAGCGAATCAGTGTCACAGGATGTTGGTCGGTTGTGTGTTTAATTCCATTTCCTGTTGAAAGATAATCCTTTCCTGTCCATGTCTTCCCACCCCCACAGAAGAGGGGAGGCGGGGGGGGGGAAGCAAAAAGAATCTCAAAACTAAATTCAGAATTCAGGAGGACTGTAGCAGGACAACAACAACAACAACCAGCAGAGAGCAGCATGCAACCAAAGGAAAAGAGCTGTTTATCTGTCTCCTCTCCAGCAGCTGGTTAACAGCCAATGAGTGACGCTGTAGCCAAAGGCTCCGCCTGCTGGGTTTGATCAGCTCAGGTGCAGCTTCCCAGTGACAGAGGCTTTGAACAAAACCTGATTTCTCCATAACACACTGTCTCCTGTGTCCCACATACCGCCATTTCAAATGCGAAACCCCCCCGCTTTCCATTTTCATACCATACCATTGTCATGCGCGAGTACCATGCCTGTAACAAGAAATAGATTTTTTTTTTTTTTTTTGGGTGGGACCCCCTCTGCAGATTTTGGCAACTGGTGGTGGGGGGGGGGTGTTCCCTCTCATTAGAATACAAATGGAGGGGGGACCTTGTTGAAGCAAATTTCAAGGGGGGTGTAAACTTTCAGCCTTGGAAATGTACTCCATTGCTATGTCTTTGAAAGTTCGGTGTAGGAGCTGAGAGGCTTCCTCACGTTCTACAGAGATCCGTGTGACGTGAGCGGAATGAGGGACAGGTCTCTGATGATGGGCCAGCAACAGGAGAACATGAAGTCAAATATAAAATAGGTTTTAAATCGCCACACCATGGCTGGGGGGTAACCAGTAAAGCTCCTCCAACTGCATTATGGTTTTTAAAATCAAGTGTTTATATCAGAAAAATACAGAGGCCGACGTGACGCAATCTGTTGGGAAAAAATCATATTGGGAAGTTTAGACTCACCAGGAAAAAACCCATTTCTACCCAAATTATGGCAGTAGTGCAGCAAAATGTGATAATGTTCACGCTCAGCTCGGAGAATCTGTAGCAGAGTAAGACTCAAAACTGATCAAATGAGTAAAACAGCTGGTAAAACATAGAGTTGTTTTCATTAAAGAGACCATACAATTCAGCAGGGAGTCCAGGGCCACTGGCATCTATCTTCAACCTCGTATGTCCAGCCAAACACACACAAATAATGTTTCTATGTGGAAACTGACATCAATAAACTGTGGCCATTAAAGTCTAATCTAGAGTAGCAATGTGTGTAACAATGAAACGGATCACAAATGGATCATAAACTGTGCGATTGTGTGTAACACAGTCTGAAATTTCTATTTGTGGGATTAATAAAGTTAGTCTATATCTTTTTTTATATATAAGTTTGAGCTCAGGAAGAAATCCTGAGAAATGCTGTCCTCTTCATGGTATGTCATCTCTACAGCATCACTCTGACGTACCCCAGCAAGAAGTTCTTTAATCAAGACGGAATAAAGACAGAATTAAAAAAAAAAACTAAAGAAATTACAATCTCACTGTAAAACGTACAACCGCGTACAACCGCGATAGATGTGGGCACGTTGCTTTCTTGAAAAAACAGAAACGAGAAATGGCGCCCTCTAATGGTTAAATATCAGAAACATACCAGAAACAGCAGCGCAGTCAGAGTTAACAAGGAGGTTTATTATTTTTTTTGAACAAAGCATCACCAATATACATTTTATTCATAGTTTACAATCCATAGTGTTATATATTAGCAACATACATATAAATGACTCAGCTTTGACCCACTTTTTCCAGAAACAGTATGAATTCTACATTTCTAATAAACAATTGCAGAAAACGAAAACATCACCACAGAAATCAACCAGTAAAATAAGTACAACCCAGACAAAAAAAAAAAAGTAAGATATCATAAAAAAGAATGAAAAGATGGGGGGTATTTGAGTGCATTAAGGCTCCAGGTACAGAATGTTATGGGTTCAAAACTCATTGTTGAAAAGGAAACACATGATTAATGAGCAAGGACTTTAACCCCAGTTTCTCCAGGGATATTAGCTCATATATGAAATTAGGGGTTTAGTAGCAGTAGTACTACTTATTAGTAGTAGGATTGTAGTCTTTGAAGAATTTCCTGGCACGGCTCATGCTCTTTTCATCCGTATTTTTGCAGTAGACACGGATTACCGTCTCTGAAAACCTCTCAGGGAGGATCGCGGAGACCTATGGTTGGAGTGTTAAACACTGCATAAGTTACCATGTAGTGATCGGGTTCTTTCCCAGACTACATTGGAATGACCAGCTGATAACATCCTCCATATAAAAATTGGGGAGTTGTTGCATAATGTTTGTGCAATTCATGTATCCAAGACCAGCCAAGACAGGTAAGAGATACAGTTCTTCCCATTTATACAGCCGAACTCTGTGTCCCTTTGGTAGGATGGGGAACAATGTCAGAGCCAGAGCTGATGTTTGGATGAGAATCCCTGGGAGCCGGATATCATACCTGATCCTTAGTGATTGTGATTGCGCGGTCAGGGTCATCTTTGCTGTAAAACCGCATTCTATTGATTGGGTTCTCCTCCTTCATTCCATAGTCCATCCTAATTTCCTGAATGATGGTATAAAGAAACACCAGATGAACTGTAGTGTTGGTCAAATCAACCAATTACAGTGAACATGTTTGTTCTGATGAGTAATATGACAAATGGCAGGCAATCAGAAATCTATTTCCAGGGAAGAATAAGGACAATATGGGTTGGCCTACTTGGACTTACGTCAATGACAAAGTCTTCTTCGGCAAGTCTGATGTCATTTCTGGTCTGAGTTTTGAACCACCAAAGAATTTCATCCTAAGGAAATGCAGATTTCTGGATTAAAAACCACAGTAATTGGCAGTCAGAGATGTATATGAACAGCACTCTAAACCTCCCTCCCCTCAGCGTTAATCTGTGGTTATTCACCTTGGTCACAGTGGATGGGGGTCGCCGTTTCTCAAACACAAGCCTGTAATGCTTGCGGCTCTCAATCTTCTCCAGGATCATCCGTGCCTCAGCAAGATTCTGCTCAGTGGAGTTCAAGATCTCATGAAACACATGGTCTAGGGGGAGAGATTGACAGTCCAGCTGACAAATCAGCAGAGTGTTCGAGGAAATCCCACTCCACAGACACATCCAAGATTTTCAGATCTCAAACAAGACAAATAGCTATGGAATTTTCTCGAACACACCACACAGTTCTTGAAGGTATGCATGAAACTTGTATTTCTTCAGTTCTCCATATAAACCTGGTTGATTTAGAGATGATCAGTAAAACTGATAAGATCCCTTCCATTTTCTAACAAGATGCCAACTAGATGGCCTGACCTGTCAGCTTGGTGTAGGCCTCCATGTCATCGATAGCAGTGGAGAGGGTAAACATCTGGCCATCAGAGCCAGAGATCTGGATAAACTTGTCAGCCTTTTCAAAAGCCTCTGATATCCTGAAAAACAGAAGGGAAAATCCTCGTCAAAAAAAAGAACTGGGTTCTCCTAGAAATCTAAGCAGTGACTGTATCACCTGAGGCATTTGAGGAAATTCAAAATGTCCTCTGTGCTGCAAAAAACCTTCTACAGCACGACTGTGGGATCTGTGATTTCTGGGAGCATCACTGCCTGGTATGGCAGCTGTAGAGCCCAGAAGAGGGCGATATGGAGCACACAGAGAATCACCTGGGGTGAATCTCAATACCAAGACCACAAAGATTGTACTTTTGGTCTTGACAAGAAAGATCTTGCAAGATCAGTAGGACAGAGAACACACCAATTGTGGACTGAGCCATCACAGCAGCACGCAATGAATCATGGGATTGCTCTCATTTGGCAAGGATGCACCTGATCCATCCCCGGTATTTGGGGCTGAGCAAGACCAGCATTTAGGGATTTTTACTGTCCTCTGATCTTGTGATCGTAGTGTTGGAATTGGTCTTCGGCAATGGAAGATGATGTAAAACAGGCACACGAGAACACAGGTATGGTCAAGCACACAGACAGAACTCCCCGGCCTGCAGTACATCAGCACCCAGCGATGTAGGTCCAGGACATTACATATCATCAGAGAGACTCACCGCCCAGTGGCTGTTCTCAGACAGGTGCCTCACGGCATCCAACCTCTCCAGCTTCTGCCCCTGTTTTCCACTTTACATTATCCTAACCGATTCAACTAACAAACCTCACTCCACTGGCCAGAGAGAAGCTCCCCAGTGAAGACCAGGCAGTAGATAAAGTATGAACCAGGCTTCTCCAGCACAGATTACCCCTGGGCTTTGCTGCAAACAGTAGTTTCTGACTTCCGGTATTGAACACAGATTCTGGAGGACAGTACATGGCCTGTGGCTTTGCACACAGCAGCACTCACATTCTCTGAATGATGTGCACGACTCTGTGCTGGTAGGCCTTCTGGTGGAGACGGTGTCTGGTATGAAACATGTCATAGAGGTTGTGTGCTTCCTGAAAAGTAGCAGTTTACAAGAGTACAGTCAGCACTACCTTACAGAATGTCAAGAAAGAAATTAACATGGACACTGAATTAATATTAAATATTGATTAACTTCTGAATAAATTCAAGAACCTTTTATGAGATAATGTTTAACTAGGTAAGTATTACCAGTAACATCTCCAGTAATAAGCACATATTTATATGTAGAAATATAAAAAGGATATTTACAAGTACTTAAATTAAACCATTTCCAATGATAATTCAAATATAGTTTCTCTTTTGAACCTTTATTATATTACATGTATTATTATACATATAAGTGATAAAATTCATTTCCAAAGAAAGGCAAAGATTAGAGCAAACACCTTATCTCTGGTACAAATATGCATCTTCCCGTCCACGTCACACACACGGGCTAATTTCAGGAAACGTTTGTAATCAAAATTGTTCTGGATGCCCAGGTGGTGACAGTCTCTAACAGGGGACACAAGATAGATGAGATCAAAGGCAGGTAGAGCTGCAGGACCAAAAGCTTAAACATAAGGATGAGAATTTATGGATTAGGTTTAAATTGAGGAAAACCAATTGTCATAAAAGGACAACTTAATAACCAATAATTTGAGTAACAGAATAAGGGCTGGTTTTAATAAATCCATGTGCAACAATTATCATACCACTTTAGTCAGCTGGTTCTGATAATCACTGACCTCCATCAGAGCTGAGAGGTACAGAAGCCTTACCTAGCAAAATAATCCCACTTGTCCACATCGATGCCATTTGTTTTATTCGCCACTATGTCGTACAGGAAGGACTTGGATTCTGGGCGGCCTTTGTACTTCCACTAGAAAGAGGAGATGAAAAACACACAGCAGAGAAGCTAAAGCTTGGATCAGAGTCCGTTCCTTTTGATCGCTGCTGCTTTGACACAAGTGAGAGAAATCAGAGTATAAAAAATAAATATAATCATATACTATAAAAGTATAATAATGTGTTTCACCCTAGTAACTGACAGCAAAGGTTCACATACTTTTCACACACAAATATGCAATGTGGGGGGGCAGCATGGTGGAGCAGTGATTAGTGCTGCTGCCTCACAGCAAAGTCCTGGGTTCGATCCCTGGGTGGCGTGTGGGACCTTTCTGTGTGGAGCTCACATGCCCTCCCCATATTCTTGTGGATTTCTACCAGGGGTCTACAGTCCAAAAGTGTGTGTGACAGGTTAATTGGCAACTCTAAGTTGGCTCTGTAATTGGTCGAGTGTGAGTGTTTGCACCCTGCAGTGTGTTGGTTCCTACCCATACCCCTTGTTCCCAGGATAGTCTCCAGTCCCCCCCAAAATCCCAGTTGGGATTAAGCAGTTACAGTGATGGATGGATATGTAACATGGTTAGTTTTCCTTAATAAATAAAAGAACAAGATTAATGTTTTGTTTAATTTGATTTTCATTATGTAGTTAAAAGGACCATTTCTTCTGATCATTTATCCAGAAAGAGTAAAAATTCACAAACTTTCAAGCACCACTGTATTTTCCTCATTAGCTATGTTTTTTGTTGACATAAACCTTCCTGAAGAACCATTTGCTTTATTTCCTCTGCAAGTTTTGACTGAACTAACACATTAAACAACTTCTGCCAAAGCAGGGGTCTGGGGCTTCCTTTGGTTATGGGCCAACCCAGGAAAAGATGGGCGACCCCAGTCACACCCCCATCTACAGTGTAAAACACAACACAGATGTAATCACTGAGCACATAAACCCGCCTTCGGATGTAGCAAGCGACAGACACAGAGAAGTAAACTGTCAGCTTCGTAGCAGCTGGCTTCATAAAACTCCACCATCACTGAGACTGAGACTCACAGCAGCCTGATCCTGACTGAGGGACGAGGGCGGCTCCAAGGGGCCGGCAATCTGCTCCTTGATGAAATCCAAGTCTTCCGGCAGCTTGAGTCCGTACTGCTCCATGACCCCCTTCAAGCCGTTCACCTCGACCATGTGATCAAACATGTCCACACTGGCCTTCTCATGCTAGGACAGACAGACACACACACATGGAAAGACACTGNCGGATGTAGCAAGTGACAGACACAGAGAAGTAAACTGTCAGCTTCGTAGCAGCTGGCTTCATAAAACTCCACCATCACTGAGACTGAGACTCACAGCAGCCTGATCCTGGGACTCGGTCGACTTGGCAGCCTGATCCTGACTGAGGGACGAGGGCGGCTCCAAGGGGCCGGCAATCTGCTCCTTGATGAAATCCAAGTCTTCTGGCAGCTTGAGTCCGTACTGCTCCATGACCCCCTTCAAGCCGTTCACCTCGACCATGTGATCAAACATGTCCACACTGGCCTTTTCATGCTAGGACAGACAGACACACACACATGGAAAGACACTGTTGAACCAGGTAGATGCAGGTTTAACACTGATCCGTTAGCTGACATGAAAGACCTAAAAATCCCAACAAACAACCTTTAAAAAAACCCCATTACCTTCCAATTCAACCCAGGGCGCATTTTTGGGATAAACATTCCATCAAACATATGAGAGAAGGGGCCATGTCCTAAACACAAGAAGAGTTCAGATTTTAATACCAGGGTACTGTTTAGACTTTGATTAATGTTTAGACCTTATAGATCATTCAGCAATATATTATCCTAATTTACCCAGAAAGCAAAATAATAATAAAACAGCTGTGAAAAGCTACATAGCTGCACAGCCGTGGAGAGAGAGCAGGGCAGCTGGAACAGACACTAACGCATACAACATGCACAGCTTACCCAGGTCATGGCAAAGACCAGCAATCTCCACACACAGCTTATCCCTTTCGCTGATGTCCAGCCCTGGTTGCCGTTCACTCAGGGCCCGGACCAGCTGACCAGCCAGGTGTGCCACCCTGCAAGAGGAACCGGAAGCCAGACATCACCTCCAGGGGATCTGAGTACTCTTAGGCAAACATGCACTGACTTGCTGGTACACAACTTTACAAGGAATAAAGCTTAATACTGAAGTAATTTGCAGGAAGAAAACTTCACACCTTTTAATAAACTTTGCATCCCAGGCCAGATCAAAACAGAGGATGAAACACAGAATTTTACACGTTACACAAAATAGAATGAATGAATGCAGACTTGCCCGATGGAGTGCTCAAAGTGGTTGTGGCTGGCTCCCGGGTACACAAAGTATGCCCCCCCAGCTGCTTGATGTAACGCAGCCTCTGAAACTGCGGGGTGTCGATGATGCGCACCAGTAGGTGGTGTAACTCAATGTGTCCATGGATGGGGTCATTGACCAACTGTGAGGGACGAGAGCACCTCTGTGATGGCCCAACCTACTTTTGACCACCAGCAGATGTTCTTAACATTTTTTGCACCATGACCCAATTTTTAGCATGCCAGCTCATTCACTACCCTGTATCAAGTATAGGTTTAAATTAATGCTATGATAAAGTATGCAGTGCACTCTGAAATTTGTACCAATCAGTACCTATCACACAAATCTGATTGGATGGGCCAGTGAATTTTAAATTAAGCATCTGTGGTGTGGCTTCTTGGATTGGTTGAGTGGTCACTAGTCTTGTGCTAAACATTTGCAGACCCAAGACCCATTTATATAGGTTAATTCTAAGATTGGGGCTTGGAAATCTGATCATGGATCAGCACAGGAGCTTGCTAGTTTTAAAAGGCTTGCATTTGCAACTCTGCCTCACAACCCTTTCAGAAATTGCCGTCACCCAAATTTGTGTCACGACCCATGGGTTGAGAATCATTGCTCTACAATGAGCAAACATCCAGCTTTACCTTCTCGTTCCTGTCGGTGTACATCCTCTTAGTTGGATTAGTTATTTTCTTCTCCTTAGGGCTTAGAGAGGAGAACAACCACAGCAAGAAAGAGTTAGCCAGCAAAACAACAGACTGGTATGACTGCATGTTTTGTCTTAGGAGAGACTAGCACATGACCGATGGCAGCACAATAACCCTACTCACCCAGCCTCCCTCTTCTCTAGCTGAGAGAGAGTGGGAGGGAGAGTAAGAGGATGCTATAGGTGTGATGCATTGTAAGATCTCTTCAAGGGCTTGAATGATTAGAGATAAGCAAAATCCATTAACCTTCCCTGATGAGTATCTGTATGAGTAATACTCACATCAAAACCTGTTGGGGTTGCAGATACTCGGAACTGATGCTCCAGCTTAGGGCGCTCCTCTTCAAGCTGATCCGCCTCTACGTTTTTCTGTAAAAGCACCAATCTGCAAGTTATTCAAAGGCACTATATGTTTAGGTTTACGATTAGCTCACAAACACTTGGACCTGCATCAGATATACTGGATGCTTCTCCTCTAACTCCACCTCCTTGAGGTGCAGAGCCAATGCAGGTTCAGAGGTGGTGCTGAAGGTTGGTGTAATCCTCAGGCAGCATATTACCACCCCAGTGATAATTGTTTTGTTTTGCAAAACAAAAGGAGAAAAAGGGTCAACTGACCATTCCACCCCAAATGGGCAAACAGGCTAGAAATTAGTAATGCACATCAAATATGTTAGAATATATTAAACATGCATGTCTTTGTGGATCTTCACTCTATCATTACAGTAAAGTGTTGTGAACTATGACCTGTCTGTTGTTTCCCAGTTTGGCCAGTGGGTGTCGCTGGTCATGTTGTTCTGTTCCCAGTGTTCCCCTAGGTTTACCCCCATTCCCAATCCCCATTGTTCTTCTTGTTCCCTGGACTGCAGTGTGGCTCACTAGATTGAGCATGCAACTGGTTAACTACTCATCTTGAATCATCGTAGGTTTAAGGCTCACCATCTTTGGACATTGGCCTTTTCAGTATTAAAGCCTGTTGCCTCATTATCTGTTGGCACATTAAAAACATAGGTTCAGTTTATTCATGTTAACTACAACTATTGTAGCAACACTTACAGCAGTCATTAAACTGCATCATACATACCTTCATAATTTTATTGTAATACATTATGAAGGTATTTAAAGTGCATTATACATGAGCACTTCACAGAGCATTCATGATGCATTATAATGGTCAGTATCTATAGTGCATTATAGATGAGCGCTTCTTAAGCAGTGATAATGCGTGATGAAACATAGCTATAATATATTATGCCTTTTTATAAATATTTATAGCTGTGTTTATAATACTTTATGAACGCATTATAATGCATTATGACAGTATCTATAATGCATTTATATGACTGTTTTAAGCAAAGTGCTATCACTATTTATGGTAAATAGCTTTTTTAAACTTCCCTAAGAAAAGTAAATATGTTTGGATTTCTGGCCATGTGCATCTCTGGGTGTCTCTTAGTATTTCATCATTTATCACCCATCATTACATGAGGTTTTGTTGTAATGCAGGGAATGGACAGGGGATCACACTTACTGGGGAGGGGACTGGGAATCACACGCACCTGGAAGAACATGGAAGGAGATACAAGCACTTGGAAAAGAACAGAGAGACAATATTGTGCTCAGTAATACCTCATAGAAATGATTCCTCACAATGGGTTGTGGGAATTATGGGTGGGCAGTACACCAGTCCCATCGTCATTACCAGTGTGATTGTGTGCCCAATTATACAACAGCCTATTTATTGAAAAAATAAAGCATTTTATTTTCTTCAAAGCTTCAGTTCTGAATACTTGTCATTATATAGTATATATACCCGGTTTATCTGTGTTGTGTGAATTTTCTATGAAACACACTCTGACGCTGTGTCATGATAGCAAATGAGCAAATAAACAGATTTTGTATAATTATACATGTGTATATGTAATTATACATTTAAACAAAATAAACCGGCTACATATATATAATAGCAAATTAAAAGGTGAAACATTTCGGCTAAATCCGCATATATATGCGCCGCTGCCTTCATAGGTGCCTAGTAAAAGGCACAACTGTCCAATTAACACACGGTGACACTGTGCCAAAAGTAGCCACTTAAGCTCGATATTGGCTAATAAAGATAAGAAAGGTTAGGAAAGAGGAATAAAAAGGACATGAGTGGAATGTCGGAACCAGCTGAGACGTCAACAGGAGAGGAGACTCTCGTTCCACAAAGAGGGTGGGGTGTCTGTGTTATTTGGAACTGGTTTGGTTTCAAATCACCCAACATGGAGCAAACATCAGTGTTATGCAAGAGATGTCGCTGTGTCATGATAACAAAAGGTGGAAACACCGGCAACCTGTTAAATCACTTAAAAACACACATGTCCGTGAATATGAAGAGCTGATGCATTGTTAACTCTCCCTCCTTATCCACTTAAAGTTACTCTGCATGACACATCATTTAAATATTTCCCTGTATGTCTTAGTAGGAGTGTGGCTCAATGCTTTCATTTGTGTGTTCTTGCAAATTTCTGTAACAAATATAAACATGGAAGGAGATACAAGCACTTAGGAACGAACAGGGAGTTAATAGTATGCTCAGTAATACCTGGTAGACATAATTAATGTCGAAGTGGGTTTTGGGGATTGATCTGGTTATATACATACAGGGAATCACAGGAACCGGTACGGAAACAGGTCGCAGCTGTTAATACTATGGAGAGATAGATGGATGAAGGGGGGATGGTTGATGTGGTGGAGGTAGAGGATTGAGTTGTACCTTATACCTGGCTTAAATTACAAACCCCATTTCCTGAAAAGTTGGGACATTTTTAAAAATGCAACAAAAACAAAAATCTGGGATTCTTTAATTCATGTGAATCTTTATTTAACTGAGAGAAGTACAAAGAAAAGATTTTCAAAACTTGTACTGACCAACTCAGCTGTACTGTAGAGCAGCGGTGTGGCGGAAAAAGAGGAAAGGGGCAGTGACCACAAGTCGAGCGCCAAAAAAACAGGTGTCTTTATTTCAGCTCGCCAAACACCCCAAAAAACCCATGCCAAGAGAGTGCCAGCTTGGGCATGAATGCTCACCACAGAACCCTGCACGCATGAGCATGGGTAAGGAATGTGAACTGACGAACTTTAACTAAACTTTAACTGACTAAAGTTTGGGCCAGAAAGATTAAAAAGCACAGAGAATATTCCAGTAACACTGGTTTGGAAGACACCGCATTAGGCAGGCTAACTGCGAGCAGGTGAGGTATGATGATTTAGTGTAAAAGTAGTCAGTCTTTGTAAGCAAGGATGTATTGTGTCTCACCCCTTCGTGTCAAAATTCATGAGACAATTGTTAGTCGATTCAAAAAGAACATTCCTCAATGCAAGATTGCAGAGAATTTGGTCTTGCAACATGTACAGTACATAATTTTGTGAATAGATGTTGAACGCATGTGATATTTGTGCTCTCAGCCCCCCCCCCCCACTGCCTAAGGAACTGTCACAATACAGTGACAAATACATCCCAGGATCGCCAACTCTCACGCATCTGGCGTGACTCTCATGCTTTCTGACTCTCATGCTTTCTGACTCTCATGCTCACACAAGAAATCTTACAGCAAATCATTATTACAGTATTCCATTATTAACCTAAAATTAGCTACATCAAAAGTTTTGGGGTAGTTTGCAAACCCCACTGTTTATTTACAAGGTAATAAAATTGTTACATACATGTAAATGAAGGCGCAGACTTGTCTCAGGTTGAAAATCTCATCCCAGCCAGCTAACAAAAGTTGACAACCCTGATAGCCACCTGAGTTCAGGGAATACTTCTGAGAACCATTGTCATTTAACACAGTCCTTTGCTGCATCCAGAAATGCAACTTGAAACTGTATTATTCCAGGAGGAAGCCATACATCAACTCTATGCAGAAACGCCAGCGAGGTCTCTGGGCCTGAGCTCATCTCAAATGGACCAAAAGACTGTGGGACCATGTGCTGTGGTCAGATGAGATGAGTCCACATTCCAGCTTGGTTTTGGAAAAAACAGGCGTCGAGTTCTCCGTGTCAAAGATGAAACCGACCATCCAGATCACTATCAGCGAAAGGTGTAACAGCCAGAATCTGTGATGGTTTGGGGTGCATCAGTGCCATGGGAGAGTTGCAGGTATGTGAAGGTACCATTGACTCTGAGGCGTATATTGGGATTTTAGAGAGACACATGTTGCCATCAAGGTGATGTCTATTTCCAGGACATCCATGCTTATTTTAGCAAGGCAATGTCAGTCCACGTTCTGTACGGGCTACAACAGCACGGTTTCGTAGACACAGAGAACGTGTGCTTGACTGGCCTGCTGCCAGTCCAGATACATCTCTTACTGAAAATGCATGGTGCATCATTGAGCATTAAGAAGAAGAATCCGGCCAACACGTCTGAAGTAGCGAATTGGACAATGGTGACCATAGAATGTAGAGCAGTTGAAGTCTTACATCATGCAAGAATGAACTTAATGTCCAATTACAAAGTTACTACAATTAATATCCTCAGTTCTTAAAAAGAGTTATTAAAAGGAAAGGTGATGTAACACAATGGTAAATATGCCTCTGTCACATTTTTTGTTTAGTTTGTTGCAGCCATCAGACTCTAACTTTGCGTATATTTATGAAATACAATTAAGTTGGTTAGTGAAACTGTTAAAAATGTTTTCTTCAGTTAAATAAATGTTCATGTGAATTAACATATCACAGATTTTTGTTTTTATAGCGTTTTAGAAAATATATCAACTTTATTGGAAATGGGGTTTGTGGTAATTTTCACTGTACAATTTCCTTTAAGTTTTGCCTCATCACTGAAGGAAAAGCCTATACCGCAATGAATGGGTTAGCGCAGGAGTCGGCAACCTGCGAATCTCTTTGACCGCGTGACTGCGGCTCTTCTCAGAACGATAGCCGCATTCACATTTTCATGTCTTAACATAATTATGGTAATACATTTGTAAAGATTAATTATTTATTTATGGGTTAATATTATTTTTCATTTAGATATTTCTTTAGCTATATGTGAATGAGGCAGTCCATCACACGCTTCTGTGATGTTTTAACGGCATCATTTACATCTTCCTCAAAGTCATTCTCTACGACGAGAGTACGTCTCTGGTCAAATGGTATGCTGTACCAGAGATTGGATGTAAGTTTCAGAGTTTATTGGGATTCCTAATTCTTTCATATACTTTCTGTAGTAAATCGTCACCACGCCTTCCCAGGTCTTCGTAAAAATTATTATATTTCTCCTGTTTACATATTACAGCCAGCTGAGTTGTTACTACATTTGCGCTACTCGTCAGCACAGCAGTAGTGAGGAGGAGACTGAAGGGCAGACGACTGCAGAGCCGAACGAAAAAAGGGGTGAGAGTGACGACTATCGCTACAGAACTGAACAATG